CTAAAATTCAAAATCCACTGAAAGTTTTTATTGCTTGATATTATGTATTCTTTTCCTGATAAATTTTAAAAGATTCTCTGCATACTTATGTGATCATGAAAGGAAGTCTTAGATATGATTTACTTTTGGTGGAAATGATAATATATGACAATTGGAAATATGATTAAATTGAGAAATTGCATGCAATCTTTTTAAGAACACAGCTGTTCAAGAAAATGAGATATCTATATTTGCTTTAGAGCCAACAGTGCTGTAATGTTTTAGTAAAGCACATAATTGTAGTGCAGTAAAATGCTTGTGTGAAAATAGGGAAGTTGAATAATCTTACCAAAGCATCTTCAGGGTTTGTCAAATTGTTTTCCCTCTCTTTAGTAACATAAAACATCTCATATTGTGGTAGAAGTGGTAGCAAACCTTTAAGCTCTGTGATGGGCCAACAGACAGTAAGCGCCATGATGGAACTCACTCTGGGATGTCTCAGTATTTCCAAATGAAACAAACTCCATCAGTTACAATTCTGTTCATCTCGCCTGATGATTAAAATGCTTTTAAAAATTCTCATACTTGAGTGGGGGTATTAGCAATGACAAGTTAGCATGTAATGGATAGTAAATGTTAATTCCTACATCTGATTTTTAGCTATAAATTGATATGATATTTTTCTTCATTACTTGAATTGATTTTTTAGCTATAAATTGATATGATATTTTTCTTGATGACTTGAATTGAAGTTATTCCCTTTTGTTTTCAATGATGTATGTTGATATCAAAGGAAAATAATTATTTATTTTTCTTCTAGGTCAGGGACAGTGTCCTATTTTTATTCCAGTGGATAGCACACTTCTTGGCAAGTTAACAAGGGCTCAGAAAATATTTTTCTGAATGATTAAAAGTCTACAGGAATTATTCTTATACATTTGATGGGTTTTTATGTTTGTTATCCCATCAGGTTGCTTTATTGTCTTCAGAGGCTTCAAATGATTGACTTAGAGATGCATCTTACCACCTGTCACCACCAGTGCTAATGCAGTTCTGACCTTTTACCATCTGTATTTTTTGGAACATTTTGCAGTAAAGTAAATGTTAAAATTAATAATCATATACTCATATAGCACTTTTTTTTAAGAGAGAGATTTTTGCTATAGGATACATATGGTCGCCAGAGAAACAGAGAGAGACAGAGAGGCAGAAAGTCAGAAATCACCCCCCAAGGCAGGATGGCCACTCCACAGTCCCTTCCCCTCCATTCTCCTCTCAGGATTTTGGGCATGAATGAACACACATCTGGCATGAGTTTTAAGCCACCAGATCCGGGACACAAACCATAGTCAGCCATATGGGGTTCCAACAATGTAACTATATAGCACTTTCTGCCCACTATTCTCCAAAGGGGTGTGTGTGTGTGTGTGTGTGTGTGTGTGTGTAACAAAGAAAGAATATTGTCATTAATCCCACTTGTTGACATACAACCAACTGTTGACATCTTTCTGTTTCTTTCTAATTGCCTTTCTACGTGAGTAGTTGTGTGGACCAACATGTATGCACAGAAGGTGCTTTATCAGTATGCAAATAAATGAATGTCTTTATACACACACACACACATACACATACATTTATGTTATTTTTAAGTAACAGTAATTATACATATACCTTATAGGATGTTCTGACATATGTTTATATTTTAGAATGGCTAAATCAAGCTCATCAACAAAACTACATTTGGACAAGAAGATTAGTGTCTGGGACAGTTGGGTGAATGTAATTAATAATAAGTTATGGTATAATTCAGGAAACCTAGAAGAGAGGCCCTTAAATGTTCCCAATACAAAGTAAAGATAAATCTTTGAGGGAATATATATGCCAAATACCCTGATTGGATTATTATTCATGACATACATATACTGGAAAAAAACACACCATATCCCATAATATGGATAATTATTGTGTCAGTTAGATGAAACATAAATGTAGAGGTCCAATTTTTTTACTCACATGGTCTGGGATAAATAAATAATTGGGGGTAAATTCAAACAGTCATGTCTTCAGAGTTCAGTGTTAAATATAATGTAGACATATAATTTTTTTCTACAGAAATTTACTAGTGAAACAAGCTTATTTTATCACTGAAGATATTTAAGATTGTAAAATGACACATTTTGGGACCAGCAGGTGGCATAATAGCTATGTCGCTGGACTCCCATGTAGTCGACTAAGGTTCAAGTCCCGGAGACCTGGTGGCTTAAACTCACGCTGGGCACATGTGCATGCATGCCCAAGATCCCAAGAGGAGAATGGATGAGAAGGGATTGCAGCATGGCCATCCTCCCCAGGGGATGATTTCTCGCTTTCTGTCTCTTGATCTCTGTGGTGAGTGCATGCGCCCTATAGCAAAAAAAAAAAAAAAAAGATAGTAAAACGACACATTTAGCCAAAGGAGAAAATGCACAATAAAAATGAATTATTTTCTGCTTCTTAGAAAATGAACATATTGATCACCTCACATACTTTTATTTTTTTGTGGTGAGAGCATCTAAAATCTATTCTTTTAGTAATTTTGAAGTATACAATACATTATTGTTAACTGTTGTCACCATGCTGTGCAGTAGAGCTTTGAAACAGACCTTCTGTCTAGGTAAAACTCTGTGAGCTTTGAATGGCATCTCCCAATTTCCCATTCCCTGCTCCCCTGGCCACTGGTAACTACTTTTCTACTTTCTACTTTTAGAAGCTTGACGTTTTTAGATTCCAAATATAATTGAGATTATGCAGTGTTTGTTTTTCTGTGCATGACTTATCTTACTTAGCCTAAGTAAGGACAGAGAACAGTATGTATGATCCTTAAGGCCTTTTGTGTCCTTACTTGCGTTTTTACTTAAAGAAGATAATTATCAAGGTACCTTATTAAATATTTTAAAAATAAAAATGTAGTTTTTGATACCTTAGAATGGCATATGTATATACGTACACCATAGTTTAGTTAATCTTCCTTTCATGTTAATCTTATTTTTTATTTTGCAGTTGTGATATGTATATTTCTACCATCGACTTTCTTTTTTAATGTTTATGTATTTATTCCATGACAGAGAGGGAGGGCCAGACACTCTCAACAAAGTCTCATGTTGCAGTCCTCTTCTGATTCTTGCCAGCCAGCTAGGATCGCAGGCATGTGCGTGTATGCCTGGTGTGTACAAGCTGACCCAGAAACTGAACTCTGATCTTCCGTATCTATCCAGTATCATGAAGCGGTGTGCTATGTGGTGTGCCACCAGAAAGCCTTATAATACCACTATGCCACTGTGACCAGCCCATTATCAACTTTTATTAGTGCTTAGCTACTTCCTTAATCTTAGAGAAGTTACTAGGCATGTGCGTGTATGCCTGGTGTGTACAAGCTGACCCAGAAACTGAACTCTGATCTTCCGTATCTTATCAGTATCATGAAGCGGTGTGGTGTGCTATGTGCCACCAGAAAGCCTTATAATACCACTATGCCACTGTGACCAGCCCATTATCAACTTTTATTAGTGCTTAGCTACTTCCTTAAGCTTAGAGAAGTTACTCCTTAAAATGTATCCATAGGGGCCAGTAGGTAGCATAGTGGCTAAAGCAGTGGACCTACATGGCTGACTTTGCTTCAAATCCCAGACCTAGTGACTTGAAACTCACACTGGGCATATGTGCATGTGTGCCCCAAATCCCAAGAGGAGAACGAATTATGGTATGGCCATTTCCCCTGGGAGATGATTTCTCATTTTCTGTTTCTCTCTCTGGCAAGCGCATGCTCACTATAGCAAAAGTCTCTCTCTCTCTTAAAAAAAGAAAAGTATCCTTAAAACTTACTTTATTATTTAAAAGTATTTTTTGGTTGTTGTGAGGATTAGCTATTCATCTAGAAAATTTGGAAGGGAGAAAACAAAACACAAAGAAAATTCAGAAGAAATTGTGTGTAATGCTGGCACCTAAAGATGACTTCATTTAAGAATTTATTTACATAATTTTAGTCTATATAATTAAATCTATTCCATATTTACCCAAAAGTGTTTTATTTCCTAACCTGCTTTTTTTCCTCTTAGTAGTATATAATTAACATAATCCTTCCCTGTCATTAGACAGTCTTCTGCAATGTAATTTTACTGCCTGTTATTAAAATGACATGTCTGTACAATGCATTTAATTAATTCTCCCTTGGTGGACCTTTAGTTTGTTTCCAATGTTTCATTATTATGCAGCGTTCTAGGATAAAACCCCTTGTGTTTTGTCCCCTGGCACATCTACTATGATTGCATTAAGACAAATTCCTGGAAGGAGAATTGCTGGCTCACATAGGAATAATTTTTAAGGCTTTTGATAAATATTGACTGCCACATTGTCTTAGGATAGATTGTACCAATTGGACATTCCCACCATTAAGTATGAAAGTTAGAAGAGATTATTAAAATTTGTTGGGTTCACTTTAAAATGAACCAAATCACCTTCCAATAAACTTGTTCACTCTCCTTGAGAGTACCTTTTTTTTTTTTCTTTTTTTTAAAATTTGCTAGAATGTGTGTGCTCACTCGAGGGAGGGTAGGAGAGAGAAGAGAGAGTGAGAAAACCCTTCCTGTGGGGAATAGTCATACTACAGTTCCTTGTCTTCCATTGCTTGCTTTAGGATTTTGGGCATGCACATGCACCTAGTGTGTTTTTCAAGTACTCGAACCACACAGTTGGTCCTTTAGATATATAGGTATACCCCCAAGAGTACCTACTTTAAGTGTGCACCAGACATCCTCTTGAGAGTGGGCTATATTATAGGCCTGCTCTCAAATGAGCTAAATATGGTGTGCTCAGGTGATTTCACTAAATATTCACAAAAAGAGAAAAAATAAAGACCATTATTAGTTTCTGGGTCTTCTGAATACTCATCTTTCATTAGTGTACTTCTAGCATTTTTTTAAATTGAATTTTATTATTTTTCTACTACTCTTCATCTTGAGTAGTCATTTTGTTTTCTCTTCCAGCCCCTTCAGTGGATGAACAGGAAGTGTGGTCTTGGGAGCAGTACCTGAAAGAACAGAAGGCTATCGCAGCGCCTGTGGAACTATTTTCCAAGGTCAGCCACTGAAGGTCTTATATTTTTGCAAGGAATGAACAGTTAAGATATTTAATGCAAATCATTTGCCTTGATAGCCCACTGACTTACTTGAATTTGTAGACCCTGCTGAAAATGGCCTAACCATGCTCATCAGAGCCTCAGTGTTTCCAGGTGGGTACTGGAGTGGGACTCACTGAGTTAGAAACCCAGTTCTGGCACTTGCCAGCTCTGTGATCTTGGGCAAGTCGTTCAACCTCTCCGTGCCTCAGCCCTGAAATAGGGAAAGTAACTTACCTATCTTTTTGGGTTGGAGTACCAAATGGGCTGTACACATAGACAATGTAAGATATAACACGCACATAATGAGCTCTCAGGGAATATTATTCTATTTTTGTTAGTCGATGCCACTTACATCTGTCCACCCAAGGACCTGGTTTGAGTCATCTGTTTGGATGAGCTGTATGGAAGTGGAGAATGAACAAGATGCTAGAGGAGGCAGCGAGAGGCCCTTGAATCATGCTGTACCTGACCAGAGAAATGTAGAGAGCAATCAATGAAGACTTCTCAACCAAGTGACTACTGATACTTGGGACTTGTGGCAACAAGGGACCATTTTTACCTAGGCTACTAAATTTTCTGATATCGTTTCTATTTTTGGTTCAAGTTTTTAGTGTTCCCAGGAAAGTTTCTATGAAAAAATGCATCAAATTTGTATCCTTATATTGCATTTTAATCTGTAACGAGATGCTAAAACCTTTTATTGGGTGATCAGAAAAGTCATGACACATTTTTGCATAGAAAAATACATCATGACTTTTTCAACAACACAGTATTTTCTCTACTCTTTGTGACTTCTGTTGAATTAAAATTGTTATTTTGTGAAAGGGCCAGGATTTATAATCCTGGACATGGTCATAGAATAGAGGAGCAGAAGCATAACACTGATGGAGGGACAGGGAAATCAAATACTATCCCCTCTTATTTTTATTTTTTCTTTAAATTTTATTGAAAAGTGGATGTACTTGCCAGAGAGAGAGAGAGAGACCTCCTAGGGAGCATGGTCACATCACAATCCCTTCTTCTCCTCCATTCTCCTGTTCTCCTGTTGGGTTTTTATGCATGCACGCACATGTTCCTGGAGTGTTTGTCAAGTCACTGGTCCGAAACTCAAACCACTCTAGCCACGCCAACTTCCATACCGTAAGCTTGCCCTTAGCCCCTCATGTTTAAGAAATGCTGAGTATTCTTTTGTCATCTCGGGGATATACTTCACAAAGAAAACACTGTGAAGTCCCTCCCATGGAAAAGAAGAATTCCTCCAATAGTAGCTCTTAACCCAGTTCTCTCATTAGATATTTTTGTGGTGCTGTGGGAAACACAGATGTCTGTATATTCCAGAGACCTAGTAAACCAGAATCTTGGGAGAAAAACATGAAGCTTGAGAACCTCTTTAGGGCATTTGTATGTAGGTTTGAGGTCCACTGCTATAGAAGTTTGAGGAACTACATGATTCTTCTTAGGAGTCAGGCCCCTGTTACCTAATGTTGTCACCTGACGAGATATATAATGTTTGTTCCACCAAAAGTACATAAGTCCATTAAAGTAAGGAATCTTTTCCCGTTTTTATTTTTTCTTTTGAGTTTTTTTCTAGTAGTAAGAGTTGTTTTGCTTTTTTTTCTATTAGTAAGAGAGAAAAAGAGAGAGAGAGAGAGAGAGAGAGGCACCCCAATGGAGCCTTGATTCCAGGATCTACCCCCAGTGTAGTTGGCCCTGGGTCATGGGCATGCACGTACCTGGTGTACTCAGAGAGGTCTCCAGATGTGAACCTGACTGAGCATTGTGTTTCATTGCCACTCCACCATTTAGCTTTCTTTTCCATCATGTCTCCTCAGTGTTGTGTATGATCACATAAGCTGATGTTGACTGACTTGGGAAACCTCTTGTTACTTCTTTTCTAAAAACAATTATTTAATTTTATTTATAATTTTTATCATTATTATTATTATTATTATTTAAATTTCTACAGAGAAGAAAGGAGGGAGAGAGAGAGGGAAAGCAAGTCTCCAAGTCCGGGACTTTAACCACCACACCACCTCCTAGCTGCAACCTTTTCTTACTTCTAAGTGCAGAAGCTCTTTGAAAGGAGTTGTCTAGGAGTAGGGCAATCCTGTGTAACTCTCAGTCACCTTGCTTCTTTTACCTTGGTAACCTTCTTGTGCCCTTGCTGTAGGGTTACTGCAGGTCAGGAGGTATAGTAGGCCAGAACAAGACATAGCTAAGGCTCATCAGGTATCATGACATCTGAAGGGAGGTATACTTCAGTCAGTGTCCAGGATGCAAGCGTTCAAAGGACACAGGTGAGGCAGGTGACACAATGTCTGAGTGCCATGGTATATCTATACTTCTCAAAGTAGCCAGAGTCATAACGATGAAGGAACAGTCAATGATTGAAGTAAGATGTTACATGTGATAGCACTGGCTATGAATGGCCATGTCTTAGATATCAGACCTGTGCAGCATTTTCAGACAAGGGTCCCAGGGCAAGAGTCTTTTCTTTCTTACATCTAGAATTAAATTAAACTTGGGCGTTAGAGGTCAAGTGTGGCTTCATTTGCACAGTAAGGCAAACTTTGGCTACGGTAACAGAATGTCAGATTCTCTGTCCAGCTCCTGCATTTTCCCTCCTCTTCAGCTCAGTCACTTTATTAACATTTTTCTTAATAGTTTATCCTTTAAGATCCTGTCTGGTTCATCAGCCTGTGTAAGAACACCTGCAAAAGTCAGCATTTCTCACAGGGTTGTTTTCTTTTTTTATTTTTTTTCCTCATGACCTGATATTAACTAAAAGAACCACAAGGGGCAAATGTGGATTTTTGTTCCTGAAATAAATCCTTGTGACAGTATTGGGAACTGTGTAGTTATAGGCTATGGGTCATATAATTACACCCCTCAACTTTATAGAAATATGACAGAGGTGCTGGAAAACACTAGTGAGAGAGACAGTCCTGCAGCATGTAAAGACAGAAGCTGACTCCATGTGGAGGGTGGAAAGAGTCTGAGAGATCTGTTGAATGGAGATGGAAGTGAGCAGGGGATTTTCCTGATTCCTTAGCTAACAATAAGGATTTTTTTTTTTGAGGGATTTTTGCTATAGAGCACATGTGCTTGCCAGAAAGACAGAGAGAGAGAAGGACAGAAAGCAAGAAATCACCCACCCCCCAGGAGGATGGCCATGCTGCAATCCCTTCTCCTTTGTTCTTCTCTTGAGATCTTGGGAACACATACACATACACCTGGCCTGTTTGAAATCACCAGATCTAGGACTCAAACTATGTTAGAGTCCAGCAATGTAATTGTTATGCCGTCTGCTGGTCCAATAACAAGAATTTAATATAAGACTTTATTTGGTCTGAACCATACCACAATGGTGAAATTCTGCGCTCTGCAAGGCTGACCCACATGAGAAGGTTTCAGGTTCCAGTCTATATATCTCTCTAAGTATACTTGGCATGCACATGCCCATGACTTGGAGCTGGTTGAGCCTGGGGGTAGATCACAGCATGAAGATCCTGTTGGGTATATTTCTCTCTCTCTCTCTCTCTCTCTCTCTCTCTTTTGAGAGGTTTTTGCTATAGGGTGTGTGCACTTACCAGAAAGACAGAAAGAGACAGAGAGGTAGAAAGAGAGAAATCACCCCCCAGGGGGGATGGCCATGCCACAATCCCTTCTCCTTCATTCTCCTCTTGGAATCTTGGGCATGTACACACACACGCCTAGTGTGAGTTTAAGCCACCAGGTCCAGGACATGAACCGTGGTCAACTACATGGGAGTCTAGTGACATAGCTCTTATGCCAACTACTGGTCCCAAGTATACTTCTTTTGCTCACTCTTTCTCTTACTCATGGAAGAAAGGAATAAGATTTAAAAAAATAAAATAAGACTTTCTCAAACTTTTGAGCTTAATATTTGTCAACTCTGAGAGTGACAGCAAAGAGCTAGTATGTAAGAAAATAAACATTTGACATGCTGGCTTACCTTTTACTTTGCGCATAATCTAACAGTCACACTATTCATATTTTCAAGGCTTTGTTTGTCCAAAGTGACATGTGAGACTGGATTGAGACACTAAGGAGTTTATGACATGGTTCTTTAGAATCTTGCTATCTAGTTGAGTTATAAGTTATAATAGCACAACAGTGTAAGGTAGAATGTCAGTTGCCAGTGTCATGTCCAAGTAATGAATTTACTAGGTATGCACCAAGTAATTTGAGACCACATCTGACCCTGGATGAGAAGAACCAAGTTCACCAGTTATGTATGATTTATCCTAATGACTGAGTAAGATGCTTTTGCTCAACTACAGTATTACTCAAACTTGACATTTATATTTTAAAATGAAATAAACATAGTTTACGTCAAAGATAAGTTCAATTTAATAAAAAAGGCAGACAGTTCATGTCAGCTTCCTGAGAAGGGGAGTACGACTGAACTCAAAGTTGTATTGACATTGTGCTCCTGGCTATTAATGCTCATTTTCATTGTGTAAATATGATAATAATGTTCAGGTTGGTCAGCTGAGATGAAATTCTTCAGCGTTTTACACTGAAATAGTGAAAAGAAAATTTTAAATGGTTTGCATATATTGAGTGGAATATTATATCAGAGATAAAGTATTGTTTTACTTTACTTTTAATATGTAGTCTCCATCCTAATATTCAGTTAGATACCCCAAAGACACTATCTGCACACACACACATAGAAACACACAATTCCAGTTTTAGCGTCTCTTCAAGAAGGCCTGTTCCCTTTTGCCTCTCCTGGGTTGGGAGGGGGAGAGGTAATTATTAACAAGATAAAGGGATAGGAGGGGCCAGAAAGCCCAGAAAATGCCTCACCTTAAAAAATTCTAAAAAGCAAAAATGTAAAAAAAGAGAGAAGACAGAGACAGAGACAGAGGTAGAGAGAGACAAAGACAGATACAGAGACAGGAGGCCTGAAAGGAGTCTTCCTACCACGG